CAGGTGGCGTACAATGATGGGTTGAGGCTGCTCCTGAAGGTACCTCGCTGGAGCAGTGCCAGCCAGTTATTCATGTATGCTGGTATTCCCACTTGTACTGCTACCCTTCGCAATCTAATGTATGTGTAGGCTGATGGTCTCTGAAAATGGTATTATCTCTATCTTGTCCACAACGACACGAAGCATGACTCGTTTCTATTCTAACCTTTGGTATCACTGGCGTTGTTGCCTGTATGTCTGACTGATCTTGTCAGTTTATATTGCTATTGGTTGTAATTTTATTGTATTAACTTGCTTTACTGTTCTTAAGGTGTTTTTATTTTCTTGCTATTTTTAAATTGTTTTTTTAATCCTCTAATCTTTATTCTTTATGAATTTATCTATTTTTACTGTTCACTGTGTTATCCTTCCCATTATGGGTCTTAAAGGCCCGGAATAAAGTTTTATGATGATGATGATGATGATATTTCCGCATTCGACCCATCCCCGTGGGGAGCGGTGAGCTGCAGCAGTGGGTGCGCTCGGGAACTATTTGGTGGTTTAATCCCCCAATCCAACCCCTAAAGCTGAGTCACAAGCAGGGAGGCATTGGGTCCCATTTTTAAAGTCTTTGGTATGACCTGACCGGGATTTGAACCCTGATCTCCCTGTCTCAGGGTGGACACTCTACCACTAAGCCACTGCAAAGGTTAGTTTCTGATAAATAGACAATGAATCTCTAGGATTAGAAAAGCCTGACAGATGTACGTCACACTGTCACTTAACATTCATGGACCCACCCATCTTGACTCACAAGGAAGGATGTAATTGGTTTAGCAGTCAATAAATAGCAGTGAACATCCCGACTAGCAGAAGCTAACTATTAGCATTTGCACCTTCACCACACAGCAGAAGCTCCTCCAGGCTTGTGTTATTTGGGGCGATAAAACATCCACGTTGCAAATCTGTGGTAGAGTCATGTTTCTGTTATCCAGTCTGAGGCGAGATGACCACATATCAGAAAATAAGACTCCAAAACCTGCCGTTTGAAGCTCAGCTGCGATGTGGGTCCTTTCTAGTTCCTGGAAATTGTGCACAACTTACAAGGCATTCATTGCTACTACAGACAACTGCAAATGTATTGTTTAAACAAGCGGTCCACACTTTTAAAGGTTATCTGTGCAAATAATGACAATTACTTGAATTAAAGCTAAGCCAGTATTATCAAACAAATATCTCAAAAACTTTACCTCTGACTATTTTGACATTGTGAGTGAGAGGTGAAGAAGCTGAAAAGTTTAATGAATACTATGTGCATGATATGTAAAAGTTGTGGAACTAAAAGAGTAAAAAAAATCAAAACCGATAATTTCCAATAATACGTTCAATGCCAACATTGGCCACTTATAAAGGAAGGCCGGTAATACATTCCTAGTTATCACCTACCAACTTTCATGCAAGAGCTTTACACCAGATCATTTAATAATGACAAATGATGGAGTTCAAGAGTGTACCATTCTGTCGTGGTGAAGAGAGAGCTGAGCCAGAAGGCAAAGCTTTCGATTTACCGATCAACCTATGTTCCTACTCTCACCCATGATCACAAGCTTTAGGTTGTGACCCAAGAATGAGATCACAGATCCAAGCGGCCAAAACATGTTTTCTTTGCAGGGTGTCTGGGCTCTTCCTTAGAGATAGGGTGAGTGGTTCAGTCACCCAGGAGGGGCTCGGAGTAGACTTGCTGCACCTCCACATCGTCAAGAGGCAGTTGAAGTGGCTCGGGCATCTGGTTAGGATGCCTCCTGGATGCCTCCCTGGTGAGGTTTCCCAGGCACATCCAACCGGGAGAAGACCTAAAGAAAGACCCAGGACACGCTGAGCTTGGACTCAGTGCTCTTCTTCAAAAAGTAGCTGAAAACTCACTTGTTCAAGCTGGCTTTTGCGTGACCTTTGTCACCACCCTTTCCTTATTCTGCTCTTTCTACTTATTCCTACTTATGCATTTCCCAAAATCCACTGTTTTCCTTTTTCCTATTCCTATTTTTATCACATTTTTTCTCTAATTTTAAACATATTTTTAATGATTAAAAAAATAAATTCAATGTGTTTTTGTTTATGTGAAGCACCAGGTGATTTTTATCTTGAGAGGCGCTATATAAAAGATAATTTTCTTTCTTTTTTTCTATGTCTCTCAAATTGGCCAGGGAACGACTTGGTATTCGTCCGAAGGAGTTGGCCCAAGTGGTTAGGGAATGGGAAGTCTGTGCCTCTCTGCTTAGGCTGCTGCCCCGCGACCCGGCAGTGGACAAAAAGGGATGGATGGAGTTCAAGCCAGTTTTGGCCAAATCTTAAAAATAAGTCCTGTGAATGACTACATCCAATTTTAGCTCCACATGTGTAATACTGGCTGAGTTATCACCATTTTTGTGTCTAGTTAGTTCATAGTAAGGTTGATATTTCATATTTATATGGAATCATCACATCTTATTGGTCTTAATTAAACTACACAGTAACACTACAAAGCCATCTTCACTTGGGTTGACTTTGTTATTCAGTTTCAGATGCACAGTTTCAATCCTTCCACCCATTGGCTCATGAAATATATTTTTCTATTTCTACATAACAATTCACGTGAAAGTTGCCTATAAACCTGTTGCTGATTACTTTTAACCAGTGTCCCAGTCTAAGTGGAGGTAAGTGTTCGACCCTGTCCAGTTATGTAAAAGCACTGAAAAGTATTAACCTAATCAGTATTGATCAACGAGTTTATGAAGCTTCCTGAAATCAAAGCATCACACATGTTCGCATTTTTATTCTGAGACCCATG